AGTTTATAGATATTTTTGTATTTTCTGTTTTATTTTGTTTTTCTTGTAATCTCATAAATTTAATAAAGATCATGCGAAACTGCCGCACTTAATAAAAAAAAAAAAAAAAAAAATTAGATAAAAGAAATAATGGATTCAAATTTAGGACTAAAGTTACAGACGTTATTATTTCAACTTTGACAAATCAGAATTTTACAAAGTGTAGACCATTAGAACTGTCAAATCTCAAGGATCATAATGACATGTGTTTCATTCAAATCGGACCACTGGATGGCAAGATAATTGAAGAAATGTTATTTTTTTATTTTTATTGGATTCTAGAAAATTTATTCAGGAAAAATTTTATTGAATGATCATGTGACATCAGAAAAGGATTACAAAAGTGAAAGCAAAAGTGTCAACAGCGTGATTGGTAGCTCTTGAAATAATATTAGATAATTTTAAAAAGGCATTAACATAACGATATGCAAAATTTTATTGAGAGATAAAAACAGATAACAAAATACATCAATATAGAGAAAAAGAAAATACATTTATAAGAAGCTATCTATGATAACTATTACTAGCTATAAAAGATGAAGAGAGAAAGCGTAGTCTATAGAATAGCTAAAAAGGCAACGGCAAAGCGTAGTTCTATGATAGACAAAAATGCCAATGACATCTCTCCCTGATAAAAATATTAGTAGTAAAATTAATCATTAAGAGGCACATAATAAGAAAAATTAAATTCTTCACTTCTCTGATGAAGTTACTCCAATATTCTTCTAAAGTTTCTCTAGATTTAGTTTAAATTATTCTAAAAATTTTGCACTTATTGGACATCTTCATAACTTTGGAGGCGATCAACATCAGCTCTTGTATAATTATATTGAAATAGAAGACTCTCATATTCTACTTCAAGGTCTCAATATCGACGCCTATTGTGAGATAAATGGAAAGATAAATGATGAATTTCATTAGATAAACTATCTACTTAAGACAAAAAAGAATTTAATAGTTGTTGAAGTCTGTGATTTTTAATATCAAGTTCATCTATTCTTTGTTGTTTTGTTTCTTCTTCTTGATTTTGAAAGTTGTATTGATGACGTGAGAAAAATTGCTTTCAAAAACTCTTGCCTATGTTGTAAATATAAAAGCTGAAAATTTGCAATAGTTCTAGTAAAACTGATAAAATTTGATGCAAATAGAAAAGATCTTGAACAAATATTTATAATCAAAAGAAGTGGCTATGAAAAATTCTCAAGACTGTGAGAATTATTTTCTTGCAGAAAAATAAACAAAAATCCATTGGATCGCATTGGATGATGATTATTGCGTAAAAATCTATAGAATAAAAACCTGTTTAAAATTAGCGTAGTCAATCAACATTACCAAATTAAATGATCACACAATATTTACATAACACATTCTTGATTGATATTTCTTGATTTAGTACAAAATTCAGGAAATTTCGTAAGCTGTATAATTTTAAGAGTTTGACAAAATGCATCATAAGAATCAAGAAATAGGAAAATGTTAGTTTTCCTGAAAAAGAGATTACTTGCAATATTTATGTAGCTAAGAAAAGTTAAACAATATAATCAGTTGATCAAAAATTAATTTTAGATTTGTGTTCAACAATTTTCTCATGGTAGATTTCTTAAATATTAGATTTCAATGAACTTTTCTGATATAGAAAAAGATTAAGTATATCATAGATGAAGATCAGATCAATATAATTAAGCCACTAAGTATATAATTTATTTACAAATGATCGATAAAATATACAACCTAGCCATAATTATCAGTCCAACCCAGCGAACCACCAGCGAAGAAAAATTCCAAGAAAAATTCTAAGTAAAAATAAATATCCTAACCACCACCCAGACCATCCAATTGAAGTCAACACCTGACCTTTTTATAAATCTTTGTAAAACAATCACTGTTCTAAAAACGCTTCTTTTTGACGAAAGTTTTCAGCTTCCAATGTATTTATTCTTTGTTGCAACAGTTCTTCACGAGTATTTTGATCAGCTACAAGATATGCTAATCTATTTGCAATAAGCAACCTCTTTCTTTCTTCTTCTTGTGCTTGAGATTGCAGGGTTGCAAACTGTTCATGAACTTTTTTTTTGTTGTAAACGTAAAGTTCTTATACGTTTAACAATTTTTTGAAGATTATTTTTAGAATGATTATTAGAAGACATTTTGTTTGAAAAATTTGAAGATTTGAAGATTTAGGTTTTAAATAATTAAATCAATACGCGTAAAAGTTATATTTAAGAAAAATAATTTATCATGTAACTTTAAAAGATCAGTTAAAATCAAGCTATTTAAATAGAATTTTAAATCCCAAAACTCAACAAATTTTAGCCCTATATAATGTTAGAGAAACCTATATTTATAAGGTCGACTGCAAATAGCATGAATATAGCATGCTCCCTTTAATAGGTCGCGCATGAATATAGTGTGCATTCTGCAAAATTCTTTTTGCAAATTTTAGAAATTTAAACTTTGAATTTCTGCAGAAGCAAAAATCTTAAGTAGGGAGTAATGTGACCGGTGATGATCTTGACGATCATAGATCTACAAATGTGTAATAAAATATAAAATATTAATAATGTCAAACATATCAAATGTGTTTAACATGTTTAATATAGTTAATATGTCTAACATATTAGATATGTTTAATATAGTTAATATAGTAGATATAGTTAACATAATTAATATATTAGAAATATTAATATATATAATAAATAGATATAAATATGAACCCCTTTGTAAGCTAGAGAGACAAACAGCTGTATAGAAATCTCTCCTTTTGTAAAAGATAGCGCAACGCTACTCTTTGTATATTTTTGTTAGCCGATGTAGGTAACCAATCTAGAAGATAGTATTTAAGAGGTAATCAGGCCTATCACATGACATTACAGTTTTAGAGACAATTGGCCTATCGCATTAATTTTTCTTTTCTCTTTTATTATTTTATTCGTGAATAAACATATTATTTTACTAATATAACTTAATTGTAATCAGTTGAGTCATTGCTTGATATAACCGTATAAATACTTTTGATAAACCGTTTAAATTAAAGCTAATAAACTATTAAAAGAATTACTGCTCAATTAAAAAGAGTCAACCTTTTGATACTGCGTCTAACAGTTGCAACCTGAAAAGATTGCACGTTAACAGTATGCTTTGATTTATGATTATTATGATTTGAAGTAAAGAGCTCTGAAGGTATACATGAACACTTTTTATGGGAAAGCTGAAAACTCTAAATCTTCTATCTTTCTTTGTAAATTAGCTAGAGAAACTACTTTAGCGAGAAAATACAACCTTAATTTTATCACAGAATTTGTAACAAAGAAAGAATTTAGGATAAATACAGTGATACCAATTCTTTGTATTTTACCTGCCCAGAAAATTATTACAGGAAATCTGATGAAATCTTCTCCAGAAAAGAACTTTCTAAGGAAGCGTATTAGACTAAAATAATCAAAATTATTATGGATGTGATGAAAAAATTACGCGATCAAATAAATGCCTATTTTAGGATAAAAAGTGGGACTTCTTATATAAAGATGATATATGAAGAGATATTATTTTTTATCTGCTTTACTGGCAAAAAGAAGTACTTTGGAATTGGATATAAAGATGAAGTAAACTTTAAACCAGATGATCTTTTTATGAAAGGAATTAATACTGCAAAGCAAAGGAATTTTGAACTCTTTAGGCTTATCGGAAAAAAAATTATATAGGAGGCTAAGGGTATCAATAATACACATTCAATTTAAAAAATTATTGAAGATGTTCTCTGAGATGTTAGATTTAGGTAATGAAATTTTAACCAGTTTATTGTAATATTTAAATAGAAAGCTAAAGGAGGTCTCGCGTGCAATAAAATTTTTATAGAACAGATGAGAAAAAGAATAGCAAATAGAGAAAAAAATATAAAGATCCCTGACTTTAGCGAGCACTTTAGTTATGTTATAATGAACAATGGTTCTCACTATAAAGAAGATGATACAAAATCAACAAGGAAGGGTGATTATATGGAATTCACAAATATTGCAAAAGAATTTAATATGAGGATAGATATCAGCTACTATTTAGAATAAACAGTAAGAATGTGCATACAATTCATTAATGAAGATGATAGATTTCAACCATCGTCATCAGATAAAATAATGCAGATTAAGAATTCAGATAAAAGAGAAAAGAAGATCAATAATTATTCTCAGAGAAAGGCAAAAAATTGACTTAAAAAATATATAAAAGGTTTACAATAAACTTTCTAGGTATTTCGATGATTTATCTGAAGTGGATAAATTATTAAATATTCTAATAGAGGTGTGATAATTTCAGCTAAGTACTTAGTCATAAGATGTTTTGCATAATATTATTTATATATTTTTTTCTTGTGTAATAATACCAGCTAACTTCAATTTCTATCTTTGAACTTCTAGCCTCTGATCATATAGTCCAGCCTCAGATATGTCCAGAAATGTAAATCGTTAGTCTGAATGTATTGATCACTTTTTTTTAGCTTAATGTGATCCTAGAGGGATCTGCTTTATATATTTTATATTTTATTCCCAACTACAATTTATATAATTGCAATTAGTAGTAAGGTAAGTATAGAATATATTATTATTAATAACATTAAAAACACTGCTTCTGCGCTACCTACAAAAATTAATTGAGATGTTAGATTCAAAGTGAAAGGTTGGCTAAAAGACACTATGCATGATGAATTATTCATAGGCGGAGATGAAGGATCTACTTCATTATACAAAGCGCCTCTTAGCTCTTTCTTTAATGCTAACTGGTCTCTAAGTGACCTATTTTTCTTTATTAATTTTAATTATTCTAAAGAATGAATATCTATTTCCCATTTGAATATGCTATTTGAGGATTCTATTCCTTTTTCTATACATTTTATTGTATATTTTTTTGAACTAAAGTCCTCATTCACTTGCTCTAGTTTGAGTCTAAAAGATTCTATTTCAGATGAGCTTATTTAGGCTAGCTCCTCTATCACCCCTCCTATTATATTTAAATTATGATATGTATGCTCTAGATCTATGTTTTTTAACTTACCTTCTAATTCAACTATTTTAGCTTCAAAAGAAAAAATTGTAATCTTATCAGTGAATAAAACTAGTAGATAGATTAAGTAGACATCACTATATATATAGTAATATCTACTTAATCTATCTACTTATACCATAGTGATGCCTACTTATAGATATTGATGCATACTTACTTATTTTTACGTGTCTATGCCCTTCTGATACTTTATTACTATCCACTTGTTTTCATTGCTTTGTGGCCTTTTTATTGCCTTGTAGCTATCTGATTGGTATTGACCTCCTACGCCTGAATGGATGTCAAATTCTATTTTAGAGGTTGTTGGCCTTCCGTAAGTGTTTGGATACCTGGTTGTATGTTGAGGGTGCTTTCCTTCTTTACCTATTTTGTTGCCTACCAGAATACCGGGATATGCCGTGGGCGTACTGAGCTTGGTTGCCGAGTTGATGACTCTCGTGAAATATTTAATAAATACATTCATTTTATAAATGATCACAAATTGGAGCGCTTCGGAAATTTCGAATGATATGTGAGAAATCCTTCTAGATGATCTGGAATCAGTGTATACCTAATCAGATCTGGCTATACTACTTTTATGCTCTTTTTCTCAATACTAGCCTTGGATTATATCGCTTTCTGCATGTCTTGTTTCGTCATGTCCGAGAAAGGTATACAATTTGAAAGATCGAAGCTGATGCCATTTTACAACCCAACTATTGCCTATTAGTTGCCAGTATATTTATGCTGATTTCGCGTCCTGAAGTTAGAGGTGCGCTATGTATTATCATGGCCAGTCCATTTGTTTGCTAAGAAGTACACCATCTTACAACCCATTTTTATGCTGGTATAGGATAAGTTTTATGGTTAAAGCAATATTTTTACATATT